CTATATTATTATAATAATATTCCCTTATGGTCCCCTTGTAATCATACTCTTATAGCCCCCCGAAACCGTGTTCTACTTGTTCAGGCCCCAAGCCCTCAGGCAGGTGTCGGAACTTTTGGGTTGTATACTATGAGCCCTGGTGTTCACGCGCGGGATCCTCAGCCCTAATGGCCAATCGTCGAGGGCTTCAACCCGAGACCAGTTGCAGCATGGGACTCTGTGTTTGGGGTTTAGTGTTTCGTCTCAACCTTCCAGTAAAAACTTTGCCAAATTTGGGGGCTTTACGGTTTCGAGGGGGCGGCAGGGGGGGGGGGGAGGGAGGGCCGGGGGGGTGGTCAGGACTACTTCGTGCACTACTCCAAGATCGAAGCAACGGCTACGCCAGCACTGTGTTGGTCCACGGTCCACGCTCGGCGTGTGTATGTGTGTATGTATGTATGTATGTGTGTATGTATGTATGCATGTATGTATGTATGTATGTATGAATGTATGTATGTATGTATGTATGTATGTATGTCTGTATGTATGTATATGTGTGTGTACGTAACGGGTGGCCGCCTTGATAGAACGTAGCCGAGGGCACTTCGAGCCCCAACCGCGCAAGCCTGGGCCTGCAACCCCACAACCCCGAGTCTTCTCGAGCTCTACCCCAAAGGGTGTACCTATGTAGCAGATCCTTGGGCCTTAAAGGCGGTTCCTATATAGTAGCTTTAGCTTGCTATTAATCTGTATGTAAACAGAGTCCCAGGTAAGTCGGAAGTTGACGACCGAAGGATGTACTTACATCTTCTGCGCCATGAAGACAAGCATCCTGTGAGCGGGTTTTTTTCGGGCCAGGATCTGATCATGATGCTCCTAAACCTGTAGGCCCCCACACAAACTCTGGGTTCAACCGTCTAACCTTTTTGGAGAGCCCCGCTTCATTCCTGCAGAGCATGCCCAAAACCCAAAGGGTCCATGTACCTATATAGCAGATACTTGGGCCTTGAAGGGGTTCCTACATAGTAGCTTTTCGTGGCCAAGTGTATACTGTATAGGTACATGGGCCCTTAGCGAAAGATTGCTGTCTGAGGGTCATCTGGCGATGCCCAAAGTTGCTGATTGGAAGTCTGACCCGCCAAGTCGACACCCTAAGCCAGAGCTTCAACCCCAAACCCTCAACCCCAAACACTAAACCCCAGACGGTAAACCCCAGACCCTAAACCCTGAACCCTAAACCCTAAACCCTAAACCCTAAACCCTAAACCCTAAACCCTAAACCCTAAACCCTAAACCCTAAACCCTAAACCCTAAACCCTAAACCCTAAACCCTAAACCCTAAACCCTAAACCCTAAACCCTAAACCCTAAACCCTAAACCCTAAACGCCAAGCCTGAAACCACAAGCCGCCAGGGCTTCAAATCCCTCGCTGACGGCGAAGAGGTAGAGTTTGACATCGGCGACGGCCAAGATGGCCACTCGTCCTCTACTTGGTCTGTAGGGTTTAGGGTTTAGGGTTCAGGGTATTTGCAGGTTTGGGGCCTTCTGGAGGGCTGGTTTAGGGTCGAACAGCGTTCTGCGGAGAAGCTACAATCCTGAATCTCGAAGACCTTCGATTCCTTCACCCGAAATCCCAAACGCAACTGCCAGATCGTGAGCCCCAACGCCTTAAACCTTGAACTTGGTCTGCAGCCCAGCGGTACCCTTTACCCTTTTTTTGGTTCTGGTTTCTCTTTTTAGTAACCGACGCCAAGAAGGGTGCCTTATTGTAATATGGTTACTGGGCCACCAAGTGAAGCTCCCGGCCCTGCGTTCCGTCCCCCGCTGACCCAGAAGCCCTTTAGCCACTTTAGCCTTCGGTCCAGCTAAAGAGCCACACCCTGAAACTCTGAAGCCTCGCACCTCAAGCTGCAGCATCGTTGAACCTTCTACCATGATATGCCTTCAATACCGACCTTCATCTCTTGAATTTGAAGTTTAGAAATCTGCAGCCAGCCAAACAATCCAAATTCCACTACCTTGGACGTATGGAAAGCTCGCACCCCTGAAGCGGCCTTAACTTACCTAAATAGTATATACTTGGGCCCTAAAGCTACTATATAGGGACAAGTATATACTACGTAGGTGCATGGACCCTTTGGGCAGGCAAGAAGTTTTGCATGAACGTGACCGGCCCCGGCGGTGCTCCCGCACGCGCCTGAGCACTGGCGCACAGGGGGTGAAGAAAGGAGTGTAAACCCTAAAGCACTAAACCTTAAAACCCTAAAGCCCTAAGACCCTAAAAGTGGATTTTTGCTCCCCGCCCGACGAGTGGGGGTGGGGTTGTTGGGCCCTGACGGTTCTTTGCTTCAAGTCAGCTGCTCTAGGAATGCCAGCTACTTTAGTAGCTGCATGAGTACACTTTACACTTTTTGGGATACTAGAATCCCCTACAAAACTGAAAGTGTTCACTTTTTTTGTCTGAGAGGGCTGCTGCTTATGTTAAGGGTCAGTGGCTTGGGTTCAAGTTGGATGCTTTGGGGTTTTGAGGGTTGTGGTGGTCCTTTATTGCCAGGGTTTAGGCTTGTGTGAACCTCTGCCCTGCGATGGTGCAGGTGCAGGGAAGCAGCCGCGAGCGCGTGCATCAGGAGTAAGGCCCGGGGGAACTCACGTTTGGCTGTTCAGGGCTGTTCATTTCTGTACCAGAGCCGCAACATGGCCATGGTTTTGGGATACGCACAGTCCTGAATAGGGATTCTTGTCCCCCCCCCCCCTTATTATAATCCCTGTTAAGGACTGTTCGTATAAGGGGGCTTTACATGGTGTATGGATACGCGTGCGCGATATAGCCCACCGCGCAGCTCTTTTGGTGGGTGCCTCTAAGAAGGCAGGCCTCTTCATTTTACAATTTAAGGGCTCGGAATCATTACTAATAGTATTCCCTTCGGTTCCTTTCAGAAGTGTACGCGAACAAGCCCCAAAGCCATATTCTGATAATTAAGATCCCTCTATTAGAGAATTGAAGCTCTTGCCCTGTCCGAGTGTAAGGGGTTTAGGGGTGTTTAGGGTGTCATTTTTTGTGCGCTCAGAAGGCCAACAAAACCCTGTACATGAATGCCGCAAATCCGTGCCCGCACGCTCCTGGCCTGGGCTCGCCTCCGTGAAGCCTGATGACATGCTCGGTAGGCCCTTGGGACATTTTATATTTTCCTTTAGTGGGTTTAAGAGGATCATGTTCAGGAATATTTTTCAGAGTGTTTTAAGGACCATCCTAGCATTCATAGGGCGTTGATCAACTGGGATCCGTTGGGAGACCCCACGACAGCCGGGCGAGGCAGCTACTTCCAGTGTATGCGGCCACGCTGTAGGGCACATTCCGTGATCGCCACAAGCCGCATCATGAGCACCTGGGAGAAAGGGTGTTCCACTGAGTCCTGGCGACGGCTTCCACTCCAACAGAGATGAGACATTGGCCACAAGAGTTCATACACACCCTAAACCCTTAACCCTAAACCCTGAACCCTTAACCCTAAGCCCTAAACCCTTAAACCTCCAGCCTGCAAGCTTCAAGCCTAAGATCAAAAGCGCGAGGCTTGACCTACAAGGGCCCGCATCTCCCGAATCGCCCTAAGCGGATGCATTGTGTGGCTCACACAAGCGGGGTTTAGGGTTTAGGGTTCAGGGGTGCATATGGGGGTTTGCATGGGGGTTTTACGATATTTGGGGTACCCTTATTTGGGGTCCTTATATAAGGGGGATCCCACTACATTCTATATGAGGGGTCCTCCATGTTCGTACACCCGCAATACTGCAGGGGCTTAGGGTGTTTCGGGGGCCTGGGCTTTGTTTCTAGGGCTTGTGCCCTGAACTTGTGGTCAGGTGAGTGAGTTGGTGCACAGCAACCAACAGGGCCGAGCGTTGATGGAATTGGGCATCAGATCGCATCTTTCTGGCAGGGCCCTCTAATACAGAAGAGGCCTAGGATGCAGTTACTTGGGTTCCCAACTCATCATGAAAGAGAAAGGAATCAATCATCTAAGGGGCCTGCCAGGCAAGACGCGAATAGAAAGTTCGGACAAGCTCCAAGCTTTTGAATTTTGTGTATTAGGCCGCCCACAAAGAGGCTGAGGGAGAAAGATAGAGCCTGCAGGCGCGAGCAGGCCACGAAAAAGGGTGGTCTCAAAACCCCTGGATTTAAAACATTAGAAAAAGCCGACAGGGGGCTTCTTCAAGGCAACAGCGACGTAAGATAGCTCTTTTTGTTTGTCTTCCATCGCTTGCTTGCTTGTTTGTTGGATTCCGAAGACCGCGTTGAGGTAGGCTTGGCTCTTGTCCTCCTGCAGAATCTACGCACCCGTAACGTGCAAACCGGGGAGTGATTATCCTAAACCCTAAACCCTTAACCCTTACATCCGAGACTGGGTTGGGCTTTTGGTGGTTCAGGGCCAGGTGCGTCATGGCCTCTGGCATGGTTTTGGCACAGATCCCCCAATGCCACACAACACCCTAAACCCTAAACCCTAAACCCTAGACCCTTTCAGGGCATCGCAAGGGATACCCGTCTCACGTAGGTTGGCACTGGGCTGAAGATCAGCTTCCTGGTATCCAGGCTCAAGGGCCCCACAAACCTGAGCCCTCAACCCGAAACCCTAAACCCTAAACCCTACACCGTAAACCCTAAACCCTAAACCCTAAACCCTAAACCCTAAACCCGGAACAGTCCCGAAGCCCTCGTTTTCCCAAGCCGGCCCGCCTTGCCTCTCGTTTGGGTGAGTGACCAGCATTGGTTCGGGGGCTCTGGTCGAGTGGTGTGGGGGGGGTCGGAGATTGAGGGGTATAGGCATAGGTATAGGGTTCGGTTTTTTGTTTTTAGCATTCAGGGATTTTAGGGTTTAAGGCTTGGGGTTGCAGTTTCTAGGAAGTTGCAACGACCGGTGCATTCTTTTGGTTTGCCTATCTATTTAGGGATGGTGGGCCACAATAAAGCAGTACGGGTTTGAAGCATAGAAGCGGCCGTGGCGGCTGTGCTACACACGGACGCCATGGCTCTTGCCGGAGGTTCAGGTTCCTCAGAGCCTCGTGCGCATTTGGGGGGTTCAGGGGTTAGGGGTTTAGGGTTTAGGGTTTAGGGTTCAGGGTTTAGGGCACTAACCTAAAAGCCCAAGCTTAGTCAATGTTAGCAAGCACCCTGTACTTTTGAGAATATTCCCTTTTCATGTCTCCAGCAACGCTCAACTACGACCCAGTGAACAGTAAACCCTGAATTTGAACCAGCTCCTCGCTTTGGACTGTGCTGGATCAGGACGTTCAGCTCACTCCGGCACGTTTAGGGTTTAGGGTTTAGGGTTTAGAGTTTAGGTTCGAGTGTCAAAACTTTGACGCTTTTGAGGCAAACGTGTGGTCCCTGTAGTCCATAGACCCCGAACCCTAAACCCTAAACCCTAAACCATAAACCCTCGAAGCTGTTACCAAAGGCTGGATCCCCGTGGTACAGTTGTGAAGAGCAGCCGCGCTGTCACCAAAGCGAAGACAATGAACAACGACCATCTCTCAAACACTTCAACCCTTCGGTGCTGAAGGAGTCTGGGTTCAGGGGTTTTAGGGGTTTTAGGGGTTTAGGGGCCTTAGGGGTTTTAGGATTCAGGGTTTCGGGTTTATAGGAATTAGGGTTTAGGGTTTATAGGGTTTAGGGATTTTAGGGTTTTAGGGGTTTCACCTCATTGGCTCAGGATGGCCTGCAACGTCTCCCAGCTGGAGCTACAGCTGCTTGGCTGCACACCTGGCTCCATCTACATTTAGGGGATTTAGGGTTTAGGGTTTAGGGTTTAGGGTCTAGGGTTTAGGGTTTGGGGTTTAGGGTTTAGGGTTTAGGTTTTAGGGTTTGGGGGTCTACATCTCTCGGTTTCGTGCCAGACCCTTTTAAGCTCGCTCGCACGTGTCGAAGGCGGACTTCGGGGAACGTGTTGGCGACGGGTTTTTGGGGTTTAGGGTTTGGGGTTTGGGGTTTAGGGTGTGGGGTTTCGGGTTTAGGGTTTAGGGTTTAGGGTTTAGGGTTTAGGGAACAGCAGGTGGAGCAGTTTCTATGTTTCTTTTGCCCGTTTGCTGGGCTGGCTTTGAGATGCAGTCGGGGTGGTCTCTGAGGACTCAGCTCTTTTGTTGGGGCACAGAGCTAGTAAGTAGATCTATTCGGCAAATTTAGGGTTGCAGAGAAAAGAACTGAGCGACAAGCAGCTTTTTCACTCCCTTAGGGCCGAGATGAAATTGCTCTTGCTTCCTGCAACATGTTGCGGGGAACAGTCTTCAGCCTTAAACCCCCCAAACCCCTCACCGTCAGTTGGCAGCATTTTGGAAGCGTGTAGCAGTCTCCTGCCGAAGTGAGAAGGACCCGCCACGCAATGTGTCCCTCGCCCCATGCCCTCCTCCCTGTACCTAACGGGCTTGTGCCGTGACGCTGGCTTGTAGGCAGATCTTGCTGTCCCAGGCTAGGTTGGGGCAGCCTACGCGCTCAAGAATGAAAGGCTCTGAGATTCTATAAGCCCCAAATGTAGACACCCGCGAAACCCCCACCCTGTCCTCATCGCCCGAAATCCACCCGTGCATTCTTAGAGCTGGGCGCCCTGTCCTGGAGGCTCTTTCCGCCCTGCCGCAGCTGATTAAGAGTCGGCAGGTGGGACATGGTCGTTGGCAGCATATTCTTGGTAGTCCGGTGGTACCCTTAATGTAGGGCCGCAGGCTTCCAAACTCCTGGGTTGCGGGTAACTACTTGAATCCTGCGAAAAATGTCGAGGTTCTGAGGCCTCAAATATCTTACGCAGCCCATATAAGTTGAGATACACTGAAAACCCCATCCCTGTGCCCAAGACGGTGTCTAGAAGTTTGGGTTCAGGGCTTGCAGGTTTTGAGGTTTGGAGCTTCAGAAAGGACAGGAAACCCTACCTACTTGGAGTTTCATGACTGATGCAAAAGTCACGGGTGGCACCAGTTGGAAGCTTTGTATTAATTGCCCGACATACAGGCACCGAGTGGCCGCTCTAAGGTGGAGGATCGTTGCAGTTGCTAGTTCGTAGCTCGTTGCCAAAACTCTACACCCGTGAAATATCCAAGTAGCCGAAGCCGATGCCCTGAAGTACTGACACAGCTCCATAGTTTCCGTCTAAACACCCTCTGGATCCGGACAGAAACCAACAAAAAATAGCAAACGCCCCAACCCCCCCCCCCCCCTAAAAATTGTAGAAATAGGGGGCCTAGGGTCTGGGCTGTTGTGTGTTGTCGTGTCTGCTTCATTTGTTGTTTTTCATCACTGTCTCCCACTTGTTCGTAACCCTTGTCGCCTTCTTCGTTTCTTATTTTCCTCCTCTGGGGTCTGTTTCATTCGTTGGGTCTCTGCTTCGTTTTCTTAAAAGCGTGTCTCATTCGTTTTCTCGCTTCTCTTCGTTAATCTTGGCCCCTCCTTCGTTTTTCTCTCACTCCCCAGGATCCCATACTCTCATTTAAGTATTTGTCGCTCCTCTCTCGTTTTCACTTTTCCCCCCTCTTACCTCTCCAACACTTTTTGACTTGTCCCCTAGCTTCGTTTTCTCGTGGTTTGTCTCTAAGCTTAGCTGGGCTTTAGTTAGGCGGTTCATAGAAACGGCTAACATAAAGCCATGATTGTAGAGCTTCGGGTTAGCCATTGGGTTATATTTTGGGTATTCCTGGGGCTTAGTGGGTGGTTGGTTCAATAATAATTTAATAATACAATTAAATTATTATTGATTTCTAAATAATTTGTTAATATTTGTATATTACTAAATTACAATTAACAATGCATATTTGACCAATAATTTTCTACTGCTTCATGTTTTTTGAAATTAATAATTTCTAGTTTTTCTTTACTACAAACATAATAATTTTTCTTTTTATGAAGTTCTAATAATTTACCATATTTTTGAATAATTTTCTTACGGCGATATTCATACATATCTATATCTTTTACATCGTCTTTTTCATAATATTTTAATAGTGCGTATTTAATCGGAATATAATGTTGTGTTTCTATGTTCATTACTTTTCGCGTGTCATCTCCTGCTTTTATATTCAATTCATTATATTCCTTTTTAAATGGATTGCTTTCATTTTCATTTTGGTTATCGTCTTCTTCTACTGGTTCATTATTATCATTATTTATACTATTCAATTCTTCTGCTCTTTTCATATCCTGCATTTTAATTTGCCATTCTAATTGTATTCTTTCATGGATTGATAGTTTATCTTCTTCTTCTTCTTCTTCATCATCTTCTTCATCATCTTCTTCATCATCTTCTTCATCATCTTCTTCATCATCTTCTTCATCATCTTCTTCATCATCTTCTTCATCATCTTCTTCTTCATATTTAAATATATTTTTCAACTTCTTAATGGCTTCTTCAAGTGTTTCAATTTCTTGTTCTTTTACCGTTGCTTCTCCTTGTAGCTTTTCATTTTCACAAACTAATAAGTGGTCATCATCACGGTCAAATAAACCAGTAAATTTCGTTTCATATAGTAATTCTCCAACTTCTTTTAGTTTGAACTCAATTTTAGCGAGTTCCTCCTTCTTGCTGGTTAATCTGTCAACATATTTGTTAATACTTATCATCTTACTAATATACTAGGGCGTTATGTCTTTAAGTAGTTTAATCATCAATTAATAAAATTTCATGCCTGTTATATTTTTTACTCAATCCATCCAATATATAGTGTTTGTTTAGTTGTCCATCTCTGCCTACTTCCTTAACTTCATAAATTCTCTCGCTCCACTGGTTCCTACTTTCTTTACGACTTGTATAGTTTCCCTTTCCCTTTACAAATATTTTAACTTTATCCCCGACCTCTACCTTAGGATACTTGCGTAAATATTTTTCTTTTAAAACAGAGTTTGATTTTACTGTAAGATGGTTGTCGTCCTTGTGCGCTTCATTTGGTGTCATCTCAGTCGTTGAATGTTTCATTGTTTTATTATACTTGTCCAACGCAGGTTTCAATAAGATCGTCCAAGCCCCTTTAGTCACCAAAGCCCTATCGGTGATCATCTTCTTAATCGTCCTAATGGCCCTCTCTGCTACATTTGCATGGGTCAAAGTTACTATATGTTCAATACCTTCACCTTTCAAAAAATCCTGAAACTTTTTATAATTAAATGCCCCGTCATCATCTGAATACATACTGTTAGGATAACCCATAACTTTAAAGCACTCCATAAAAGCATCATACACCGTCTCACCGTCTCTGTTCTCCATAGGCACTATATGCATCTTCTTGCTAAAATTGTCAATGCATAATAAAGCGTATCTTTTATACTCCTCCTTGAAGGTGTCAGTGTCTTTCATCAAGCTTACCATATCCATAATATCAACGCTAAAAACAGCCCTAGCATAAGGCGGGGAATAGCTATTATAATTCTTGTAGTTTCTTCTCGATGCTTTGCTTCTTCACCCAATCCTTAACATACTGCAAAGTGACACCCGCGCCATCCTTGTTAGCTTCCTCATACAAACTTCTAACAGACCCGTAACCGCGCTCAAGATCATAATATATTTTCTCCAATATCTCATTAGCACTCATAATTAATAATAATTAGATAATTAATTAATTATTATTAACCATGTAAAACCTTCAGAATGATTTTATCCTCTATCTCCTTTTGTTTTCTATCTTCATAAACTCTTTTACACCTTTCACTGTTCTGATGCTTAGCTTTATTGCTAGTGCTACTTATGGTTTTACCGCACCTTTCACACTCAAAACATTTATTATTTTTCTTGAAATAATCATTAAAATAACCTTCATTTTTGTTCTTTTCATTCAACCTATCATTATAGACTTTCTTTTTCTGTTTCTTGATGATCTCCGAACTGTCGCTATCAGTTGTAGAAACATCATCACTCTCAAACGAGTTCCAAAGCAGATCAAACAAATCGTCGTTTATTGTGGTTTTAATTCCATCATTGCCAACAAAGTAGTTAGTAGCCATTTATTTTATAATATGAATATTTCTTTAAATTGCGTTAGCTATTAAAGAAATATCTCATTCGTTTTCAAGCTATGATCTACTACTGGAAGCAGAACTAATAACAATAGGGGAACTCTTAACTGATATATGAGAACTTCTAACCGAAATGGGAGAACTTCTTACACTAATGGGTCTGTTGCTTCTTTCACTACCATAATGTATTGTTGAAGCAGGTCGTGAAGAACCGTAATGTATAGTTGACGCTTCGTCAGAAGCCTCGCGAGACATTCGTGACGAACGAGAACTAGCATTACTACTAGCTATAGGTAGATTATCATATGGATCACTCTGGTGAACAGAAATAGAAGAACTTGATGAAGAAGGTAAAGGCGTTTCATCTTTTTTAGTAGGCATTGGTTCATTGCTTCCCCTTGCTCCGCTATCATGACTTGTTTGTCGCGATATTGGCATTTCTACTTCCACCTCTTCAAACAAACTATCAAACAATCTTCTCATCAATGATTTTTGTTGTTCTTGTTCTTCTGATTTTTCGCTTGATTTGCTACTTGATTTACTAGATTGCATTGAGTGCTCACTCTCAACCTGTTGTTCTTCTTTGTCTGGTTCAATTGCTGTCTTCAAACTTTCCGATGTAGATGAGTGTGAAGAGTGGTCACTAAATAAGTCAGTTTGCGTTCCTTTCTGGGGGTTCTCATTAGTCACTATGATCTTCTTATCATATTTACCCAGATCAAAATCATCAAAATCCACCTCATCTAATAACATTCCTTGTTGTGTTCTTCTTTCCCTTTCTGGTAATATTCTTAATCTTCTTGTTCTTGCCTCCCTTAACATTTCTTCATAAGTTGGTTTTAACCTTAACATATATTTAGTTTTAGATATTATAACAAACTCATAACGGCACTTTGAGCACCTGCGATTAACGCATCCTTTGCGACTTCCTTATCTGCATCTAATAAAGCACTACCCGCGCTTTCAAACGCTTTTCTGATCATACCTTTGCCTTTTCCTTTCTTCATCTGTGTCCATTCTTCCATCCTACTTCTTAAAAGTTGGTCATTGACTTCGTCCGCCCACTTGCCCGTTTGTATAAGTCTTTCCACATAGTTTATCAAATAATCCTTTTTTGTTATTGACTTACCCTTACCTTTCGTTTTCAATTTTGACATTTCTTCTTCTTGTTCTTCAGTCAGCGTTATTCCTCTTAAATGTAATTGATACAGTATGTCATCTACTGATATGTCTTTTTGTCTCCATCTATCTATATTTTCATTATAATCTATTGTTTCCTTATGTTTTCTAGATTGTGGGGGCACTTGAGTTTCTTCATCATCGGTTGCCTCTTCTTCTTCCCCCTCCTCTGCTACTTCAGTAGGTGTTTCTAAAGGTGGCATATCATCATCATCCTCAACGTCAGTAGCCATAGAATGTATCGGCACTCCCACGGGCAATTGTTGGGAATGAACATCTCCTAAGTCTCTTCTAGCACCATCCACTAATCTGTCTCGGCTCTCCATTTGACGGCAAAGACCTGTTTCTAATTCTGTTCTTATCGCTTGTTCATATTCTGCGTTAATCATTTGATCCAAGAAGTCACTACCGCCTGACTGATATGCAGAGCTTGGGGTTCTACCACCATAACTTAACACTCCCATTGACGAACCCGTAGCCATTGC